TGTCAGTGAGAATACTTTATCTAGAGATCACCACTTGGTTACTTTTTTCTTTAGCTTGGAGGTAATACACAGTCATCACTGAGCAATGTTCATTCTCATGCGATGGAAAAGAGGTATCCAAACACTTTCCTAGTGATGCTGGGTGTTTTATGAACAAAATGCTGGTGCTCACCTGCTGTTAGCTCACTTAGCATCCACTTTTTATTGTTCAATAACTAACAATCTTTGTGATATAATGCTTTAAAGTAACTGGTTGCAGCAAAGATACTACAGCCTGGGAGGAAAAGATGGATTGTAAAACAAACTTTTCATTAAAATGTTTTCCATACTATGAAAATATTTAAATGGCCTCTTTAATATAATCATATAAAATAATTATGAAGATACAGTTAAGAGACCAGCCAGAAAGTCCTATTTATTAATCAGATACTGCTAAGAGCATGGTATGTCCTCAGAAGATTTTTGTTGACTCCTATAGAAAAGCCACTGGCTGGGAGAAGGTGCTTTGTTTCACCCTTTTAGATGAAACAGGAAGATTCCTTCGGTTTCTGCATGCTTTCCTTTGCTAGCAAATAAGAATATTTTCAATGGTGCATAATCCATGGACAGGAGTCGTGATGAAGCCATCTCTAAGTGTTATCATCAGTGATGCTGAAGAGGAGCACTGCTACACAGTTCTGTCTCTAAGTTCATTTACTTGGCTTATTTCTAGAGCTCCCACACCAGTGTTACCCAGGGTTTGAGTTTGGAATCATATATTCACCTACTTATGGAGTTTTCCTGTTGCTTTTGGAGCATGATCAGATTTCAATTGATTAAATGAAATGGGGGAAAGCTCTGGGGAAAGAAAGGGGAAAATGTTGAGACGCTGCTATTCATAGGTGCAATATACCATGGAGGATGCTGTGGATATTCACTAACTGAAGATCAGAGTATGTGCCATTTATATTCCTGTTGATGTACGTAAAACTGAGCTAAAAGGGATGTCACTTAACACGCACGCTGTTTGAGGTTCCGTACTCAGTATAGTATCTGATGTTTGAAAGAATTGGAAATTAAACCAAAACCAGCATAGCGTGATTTTGAAAGGGCACGCCTTCCTCCTAGCCCAGTATCCTAATCTGCTCCACCTTCCCAACTCTCTATTTCTGCCTCCCACCTCCTGCTCCTGCCCTGGCACCGCACCGGCAGGCAGGCGGGCTCAGCAGGGTGGGTGGCACAAGCGCCGGGGCTGCCTGTGACACAGGAACAAGGCACTCATTCCTGTGCAGCTCCTGATGCCTGCATGATGCATGATGAAATGAGAGGGAAGCAGCCCAACCCTGGCTTTGTATTCCTGATGAGTGTCCTCTTTCCAAGGCGTGAGCAGTGCCTAAGTGGTGCGTAATTTACCTTATGGGCAAATTTCATTCTCTGCTATTGCATTTGACTTGCGTACCTCTAACTTTAGATAGGAAGAGCAGTGCTGCCAGTATTTGGTACTGATGGCAAACCGCCTGGCAGAGCTTCCCAGGTGGTTGTTACTGATGCATTCCACCAGCTGGAAGAATTCCTGTCATTGTCGTCATCATCTACATTGCTAATTTAATTAAAATAGCCGCTCCGGAACCTGAAATGAGATTAGGTTCCTATTACGCCCGATGCTGTACAAAATTATGATGGATGATGGTTTCCAGCCTGAGCAAGCTTATGGGTTAATTATGTTGCAGAATGGCCTGTAAAACCTATTTGTTTAAAAAAACCTGTATTGACCATTTGCATGTTATTTAGGCTGGTACTTGCTCTCCAGCAGCAGTAATTAATGTGATAGCATACATTTTAAATAAACAGAGAAAAATTCTGTTCCCGGTGTTGATAATATTTCCTAAAAAAAAAAAAAAGTTTGCTAGCAACTTATTTTCAAATCTTTCTTTGCCTTTCTGTTTAATTTTCAAAGACCATAATATAATTTCTTCTGCATTAGTGAAATGAGCTGACATTATTATTTCAAAGCCCAGTCTTTAATTAAGAAGTACCTGCAAATACATAATCTTTCTAACTCCGCCAGACCATCTTAAAATGATGATTTAGAAAGAGCATAAAATTAAATAGCAATATTTTGTTCAGATAAAGAAATACAAATCTGCAGAAGGAAATATATTAAAAAGAATAAAATTTATGGACTTTGAGATCAGCAACTAGCTCTGATAGAATCCAGTAGATGGTAATTTTGAAAATGAGGTCAATGTTGAGCAATCAATCTTCATCATTTTACAGCTCCTCCACCTCATCATCATCATCATCATCATTTTACAATTCATAATGACCTTCATTGCTTTCTGAAACCTTGGAGAAGAAAAACCACACAAAGGGATCCTAACAGAATTTGGCTAGGTAAACCAGACATCAAAGGCCAGGGGACAGGTGGAGAGTTGCAAAGATGAGGAAAACATTACTTAACGATAGTTGCAAAATGCAGTGTCAGAAAATCGGAAAAGTGATTGTGGCTACTCCCAGAGTTTTAGTAGCTTTTCCTTCTCACTTGTTTGCTGTGCCACTACCGGTAGTCTGGGTTCTGCTTTTCCTTCTCTCCATCATTCCAGCCTGCTGTTTAGCCAAAAAGGAAATGTAGCACCAATCACGCGATGTTATGGCATAGTCCTTATACTGCGGCATAGACAATGGTAACCCATGGAGGGAATAAGGCTCATCTGCTTCCACAGAAGAAAACATTAAAGACAGATTATGCAATGGGACTCAAAAAAGAAGTGGCCAATTGAATACATTCATAGAATATACCCTCTGTAATCTGTTGAGGACTGGAAGAAAATATATCAAAAAACAACGAGAAACTCAGGGGAAATTCCCTTTCTCTATTGCTTTGGCTGCAGTGAGTTCAGAGCAAAAGGTGTCAATGAAAGATGTTGTTAAGAGGCCCCTAGGACATGACTCAGTTTGAGACTTGCAGATTTCTACATAGCTAAATATCCAAACTTCTATTATATGCCTTGCTTAAGCTCAATGCCCCACAGATGGGTATCTAGTGCCATTTTAAATGCCCAGATGTGTCCCACCTGGTTCTCAGCTGCTGCTTCATTGGTGCTGGATGCTAGCTCCATGTAGACATCTCAGGTTCCCTAAGGCACCTTAGGTGGCACTGGGCAAATGATTCATATCCTAAATATGCACTGACTACAGCCTGAGTTTAAACAGCCATTCTGGCTGTAGCTATAATCAGTGCTTAGACATTTACCATAATTATAAACACTTACCCATACACATTAAATTTAAGAGTCTTAATCTTGAAATTCGTCCCACAGTCTCGGTCTTTCAAGATGTACCACAGCTTTCCTATATAATTCTATGGTAATTTGGCACCTGTATTTTTCTGAATCTGATTCTTCCTTTCACTCTTTAGCCTGGTCCCTGAGTTTGGTACCCTCATTACAGAAAGTCTACAGCTGTATGCAGTAGGGGTCAGGTTTCTACCTTCTGCTACAGCATGAGTAGAGAGAGAGGAACAACAGAAGAAGCCTTGGCTTCTGTCCTAAGAAACAATGAAGATGAATATAGCAAACGGGGGTATGTCAGACACTGGGAGAATGAAGTGAGATTGAATGACACTCAACTACAGGCATAAGGTTTCACAAATATCTCAGTTTAAAAACACCAACATTTTATGATCACTCTCTATTCAGGACATCCCTGAAAATAACACATAAGCCCTCTTTCTCTTCTCCTTCCTCCAGACATATGCTTTAGCTTTAAATATTTTAAATACCAATATTTTTTCTGACTGGGGTCTTAAGACTATGGACAAAACCAAAAATGTTTTGAGATAAACACATGTCAGAACAGATTACAACATCCCAAAGCTGTAGGTCATTTGTACTAGTAGAAGAAACTGTTCTTGCCATGCAAAAAACATACTGATAAGATAAAAAAGAGGGAAAAGAGTTTTACCATTTAGTTTATTGCATACATTAAAATATGCAGCTGCTACAACAATCACTGTATTACACTCTTTTCCTACAGAGTATCTGCAGTGCAATTCCTTTCTTTTGTTCTTACACATGTAGGGCCTGAGTAATTTGCCTACTGCATTTAGTGGAAAATTGACTACTCTTTTCAGTAGGCTATGGGGCATCTGCTGGTTTCTTACTATTAGTTACATGCTTTCTGTAGCTGTTTGGTTTTTTAGTGTTCGTCACTCAGAAAATATGCAGCTGACTATAGGACGGAATAACTTTTTTTAGAAGGCACTAAAAATTTGAACAACCTTCAAACCTAATAAGAGTTTTACATGCCATTAACAGAAAAAGACAAAATTACTAGAGTTGTTACTTAGCTGCTTGTTAACTTTTTATAGAAGAGTTATTAATGCTTGCTACAATATAATTTTTTTATATTTCAGTGGACACTACTGAGGAGTTCAGGATTGTATCTCCCATATGTGGCCTTTGGCTCAGGGGCATGTCCCTGTGGGCTAGAAAAATAATGTAAAAAATATTGGTTTAACCTTGCTCTCTCACCTGCTGTTGGCCACTAGCTTAGGTAGACATTTGACCTCACCTGTAGTTGCATCCTCATGCCTTTTTGTATTTAAAAACTGACATACACCCTATGTAACTTTGTTAATCAGTACCACCTGCTTTGTGTGAAAATTAAACAATTTCCTGTGAAGAAACTCTCTTCAGAAACAGGCAGCAACTATTTCAGGATACCTGAGGAATAACATGGACAGGGTCCTTTTTGGAGCTGATTACAGCCCATTTTCAAATGCTTGCCAACATCACATAACAAATGCAACACTTTAATAAGGTGTGTGTGCTGGGACAAATGTTGTGGAAGGTGAGTCACAGAATGGCATGCCTATTTAAACTGGGGATCTGCCCAAACCAGCTGTTTTAAAAAAAATTAGAAAATAAGAGGAGAAATACTAGCTAAGTGGATGTTGAAGAATATTAATGAGAGATGCTATGACATACTATGCTCTTCTACAGTACACATGAAGGCTCTGGTCATTCCCGGTACAAGTCTACTGTAGATGTCCTAGAGCAAAAGATAGCATGAGTTAAGGCTAGTTTCACAGCTTTCCTGAACCAACCATAGAAAAATAGATAGAACAAGGGACTGCAGGCAGAACTGAAGTAAACAAACCAAATTAGAATGTCAAACAGAACTGAGGGGTATGAAATACAGAAGACTGTCTACTATGGTGTCAATTGTAAAGGGCAACCAGCACAGGAGGTAGACTCCTACAGCTACCCCAAGAGTCTTTGCTGCTTTCCTTTAACTCTTGGATGCTCCTACATGTAGCCAAGACCCTATACTCCTACTCATGTTGTTTATCAGTCTGGCCACAGCAAATATTTTTACATATAAAATTGTCATTACGAGGCAAGAATACTGGGAAGTTCAACCACCCCCAGAGCTGTTGAACAGCAGCTGACAGCTACCAACACAAGCCACATCTTGCAAAAAATGTCCCAGTCCTTCTGCAATTGTTTTAGTGTAGAGGAAGACAGGCGTATAAGCCATAGGCAATGCCCACCCCACCCCAATGTAAATGCAGGCCACTCTTACCATTAACTTGGTGGGGTAAAGCAAAGGGTCACATTTGGCACAGTGTCGATCAATGGAAATGAAACACAGATGAAATATGGAGGTCAAGCAAAAGAGTGTGTCCAGAAAGGTGTGCAGCCTACAGAAGTCATCTCTGAAATACCAGCAGCTCTCTACAGACTGGATGGTGCTGAAGGGCAGCATGGACAGCCCCAGGAGGATGTCAGTAAGGGTGAGGGAGAGGAGCACTAGGTTGGTGGGGGTGTGCAGGGCTTTAAAATGGGAAACAATGACAACGACAAGCAGGTTCCCCAGCACCATGATCAGCGTGCCCAAGACACAGGCCAGATAAATAGCCAGCTGGACCCCAAAGGGGTTTAAGGTCCTTTAGCAGGAGCCATTCACCTCATAGCACAAGGTGATGAGCTTCCCCTTCTCCGCAGTGGGGCCCTGACCTGAGCTCTGGCCAGCCTGCCCAGGTCCCACTGCCTCCCCTGGCTCTGCCACAAGCCTGGAAAAGGATTCACCTTCCAGCAGAGGTGCCAAATTACTAACCTGAAAAAAAGGTAATGAAAAGGAAAGTTAGAGGGAGAGATTCTGTGTCTTTTAAGCAAATACTTTTATTAAAGTCATTGGACAGTTTCCATATTTCAAGTGAAAAAATGAGCCTGATTTATCTGTTTTATATCTCTATTGAAATAAAACAGTTCCAGAACAATGTATGCAACTTTTGTGGAGTCATTGTTTATATTATATCTTGGTTTTCTTTCAGCCAATACTGCAAATAGTGCAGGAAATGCAGCAAATCCAGAGGTGTGTGAGTAAGCAGTCAATAAAGAGAAGGTTTGCCTTAGAATGAAAACCAGTGCTAAGTAACAGGCATTGCAAGACAAAGCTCCTTAAGGGATTTGAAAGCTGACTCTAGTATAATGGTACACTGGTTCTTGTTAATTTCCCTGGAAATGAAGTTCCAAATTAGTTATGATTCTTTTTATTAAGTAGAAGCTGTGAACTGTTTATTTTAAAACAAGTAATATCTGATTGCAAAGGAAAACCCCACAGGGCAATTTGTTCATTTTATAGTGTTCTGGCTATGGGGATATATATGTATATCCATTCTGTTGATGACATAAATATTAAGCAAGACAAACAGAAATATTGTTATATGCCCTAAAGATTGCCCCTGCTTTTTACTTATGAAATTGCTATTTAAGTCTTAAGTTATTTCATTTTTAATTTGAACTGTAAGAAATATATGATATTAATGGGTTATAAGGGATTATTCCAGCAGTCTTTCTAATAAATCAGATAACAGAACAATATGATTTTTAATAGTAAGACAACTACAGTTAAATACATGAAATTTTTCTATATGTATTTTAGTTCTTGAAATGACTGGTATAATAGCTGGAAATTATTCCCACCTTTCCCATCTTTCCCAGCAGCAACAAAACATAATAGCAAATCTCTCTTAATTGTATTTCCATAAACTTTTAAATCAGGAATACTTACAGTAAAATATCTCTTTTTGTAGATGTGGTGGTTTAATCCCAGCGGGCAACTGAGCACCACAAGCTGCTCGCTCACTCTTCCCCTGGTGGGATGGGGGAAAGAATCATAGAATCACAGAATCATTTAGGTTGGAAAAGACCTTTAAGATCATCTGGTCCAACCATTAACCGCGGTGGGATGGGGGAGAGAATCAGAAGAGTAAAAGTGAAAAAAACCTCATGGGTTGAGATAAGAATAGTTTAATAATTGAAATAAAATAAAATAGTAGTAATAATATTAATAATAATGATGATAAAAGAATATACAAAACAAGTGATGCACAATGCAATTGCTCACCACCCGCCGACCGATACCCAACCAGTCCCCAGGCAGCAGCCTGCTGGCCAGCTTTCTCCTAGTTTATATACTGAGTGTGATGTCATATGGTATGGAATAGCCCTTTGGCCAGTTTGGGTCATCTGTCCTGGCTGTGCCCCCTCCCAGCTTCTTGTGCATCTCCAGCCTTTCCAGTCAGTACATCATGGGAAGCTGAAAAGTCCTTGACTAGCATAAGCAGTACTTAGCAACAACTAAAACATCAGTGTGTTATCAACATTCTTCTCATCCTAAATCCAAAACACAGCACTATGCTAGCTACTAGGAAGAAAATTAACTCTATCCCAACTGAAGCCAGGACAGTAGAATGGGAGCTGTACTGCAGTGCACTGAACTCCTTTTCTAACTACATGTCTACCACATGTCTATTTGTTAATGGTTGGACTTGATGACCTTAAAGGTCTTTTCCAACCTAAACAATTCTATGATTCTATGATTCTACTGCCTGGGTCAAAAGCTTGAGATGTCACATAAACCAGAGGGAGAGGGAGTCCCTATAGGTGACTAATATACCTTAGGGGCACAGAGAGACTGTTATGCATTTGGCAAAAATTGCCATTTTCTAAGAAGAAGTTTAAATGCACACATGCTCTGCTGCTGTTGAATCTCTGAAGATTTATATCAGAGTTTGCTTTGAATTTTCTTTCTTATGGTGTTCCTGCAAGAAGATACAGCTGATGCCAGCTCATCCTGGGGCGTCAATGACCCTCACACCATGGAGGGCTCCCTTGCCTGCTCCTGAGCCTCGGTCTCCCCAAACCCATGTCTTTCACTCCAGAAGGAGGTACATCAGGTACCTCTGGATTTTCGTTGTTTCCTCTGTAGCAGTCCCCACTTCTATCCCACAGTATAAGCTGGCAGAAGAGGTGAGTACAGCAACCTTCACTCCTGGATGATTTTGTGATATTTCTTTGATGCAGTGGAACAGTCTGTTTAACACGGACATTACAGAGACAAATATCACTCAGGGAAGGCCTGGATTTTTCATCCTAGACAGGATACGGGGTTTTAAAACAAGCTTCTTGCTTCTCAGTGAAAGTTTTGCCAGTGCTCAGATCCTCAACTCTCATCTCTTGCTCAGTCAGGGGAAGCTCATACCACCTCCTTAAGGGAGGCTGATGGTACATCTCTCAGAGCTTGTCTTCTTCATGCCTGCTCTGCAATTACTTTTCTACAAGCTCTCCAATATGACTGCCATCCTTCATCTTCCCTAGTTTGAGTTTCTTCGGTTAAGAAGTTGTCTGTGGCCCAGCTCCCCTCCCCTCTCTCTTGGTGTTTTTGAGGCACTCTGTGCCAAAGGCTGCTGACTCCCAGCAGAGAGACTGTTAGAATAAGGCTGAGGCAATTGTTTAGATTGAATTTTTAATACAAGAAAGAGCTAAAGTCAGCATCAGTTTCCATATCATTCTGGTTTATGTCAGGACACGAGTAGCAGCTATTACTATAGGGATTTAAAAACTCCTACAAGAGCAAGATATTTTTATTTTTTCAGTTTTGCTTCAACAACAATTTAAGGCAACATTTCCACACTATTAAAAATCCCAGTGCAAAAAGGTATAAATTGGGAATAGTTCTCTGAAACACTGTGCTTAGCTGGAGACTTGCCATAAAACTTCAAAGAAATTTGTTTCTCCTTTTCCTATTTCCACATTTTAATAAGTGGTCATTTATATTAAGATTGTCGAGGGTTTTGGATAGCTCTTGATATTAACAATAGGGTTTTTGTCCTTGATGCTCTGATATTTTCATTAGTTTTCATTCTTCCTGTATTTTCTATGCAATAAAGTATCATTCTCATCCAAGTGCTTTGTCATTCAAATTCCAAGTAAAATCACGCTCTTGTCAAAATACTTACCCTGTCTAGCTAGCTAGCTATTGTGATGTTTCTGAAGTGATTATCACCACCCCTAAAGGGAACAACACATAACAAAACAATCTCTGCTCACCCTTCCTGCACACATTACTTGTTGGAATCGCTTTGCATTTTTTCCCCTCTCTTCTATTCTGGTCATGGGAAAAGACACCAGTTCACAATTAAGAGAAGGCTCAAATAGTGACAATGTAGTTCTTCATACTTTGGAACAAGAAGAACTTTTTAATGTGTATCAACTTTGAAAGTAAGAATGCTATCACAAAATAAAAAATGCCAATCATACTCAAAATGTTCTTTCTCTTTACCCTTCCTTCTTCAGACAGAAGTGCTGGATATAGTCTCAAACTGAACTTTTGTTGAATGTACTATGCAACCTAGTAATCTACAGGAAAACACACAAAAAAATAGAAGGATAAGTGGGCTATCTGATATGGTTTGATCTGCAGTGAAGACATGCATAGCCAATATCTTTTTTTATTGAAACTGCTGCACAAAACCTCTAAGATCTAAATTCCTCTAAGTAACCTCTGAGTCTGAGTTCCTTAAAATAGAACAAGACAGTTTCAAATGATTATGGACTTTCTAAGAGGGCCACCATCAGTGCCCCTTTGCTGTGAAATTTTTCCTCACAGCTTCCAAAAGAGTCAGTCTGGGATCCTTAAATAGAATATAATAGTATAAGAAGGGTATGGGCTTACTAAGATGACCTACATTGAGCTAGCTAAACCTCAAATGTTGCATCACGTGTATTACAGCCATATAGCCTGTAGTGGAGCCTTTTGCTCTCCCTTGTAGTAGTGAGCAGTGATCATCTCTGAAGAAGTCTGCGTATCATATATGAATGTTTTATCATTACTTCAGAGTGGCGGAAGTGTTTGCAGAGTAAATACTCACCCAGCGCAGCTTAAAATTCTGCTGGGTGTAGTGCACCCCACCTCCGTGCAGACAGGGGGTCTCCATAGGGTGCAGTAAGTATTTTTTCTTATTATTTCTTACAAAAATAGCAGCATTTGGCCTTCAGTTTTGTAAATATGGAAAATTCTTGTCCGCAGCACTCACAAGAAATTGTTTCACCTGCTGCCTCCTGTTTTTATGTAACTGTGGCTTTTATGTTTTCCCACTCTTGGTTACACTGGTCTGTGTTCTGTCTGATTCAAGTGCTCTTATAGGACACACCTATATGAGCAGTTTTAGAAGCAGTACCTCTGTAAGTTAACTGGCAGCTTAACCATGTTAAAAGTGGAAGTGAAGATGGAGAGAAAAGAACTCACTGGCGTTGTCCCCATCTATAGCATCTTTGTCCAAATTAGTCAGCTGAAGGATTAAAACTGAAGAGGTTGTGGATTAGAGGAGTAAAAAAAAGATACTTTAGTTCAGGAAGTGAATTAAAAAAATTAATAAATTCAAATATTTTTTCTGTTATATTTGAAATTAACAACTTATATTTGTTTCAGTCTAGGATTGCCTTAACCCAAAATAAAATGTTTTTCTTTCAGTTTATTCATCTTGTTATCCTTTTATTGTCTCCTTTTTTTTCCATTTATGTCAAATGTGAAATTATTAATATCATAATAAAGTGAAAAATCCCAGTAGTTCATCATCTTCAAAACATTCCCTCTCATAATGGTTGGACTGGATGATCTTAAAGGTCTTTTCCAACCTAAACGATTCTATGATTCTATAATTTTTTTCTGTCCAGACTTTTTTCTGAATGTGACCTCAAAGTGCAGTTTTTAGTGAACTTAGTGTTTAGTGATGTGGCAGAGGAATTGCAAAAGATGTGACAGAAAAAGTCAAAATACCCACAGAAAAAAGTTGAATGTGACATACTCTGGTTCAAGAGTTCTCTGCAGAAGAATTCATTAATAACAGGTGTTAAAAGTAATCCCAGGACTGCAAAGGAGGGCTGCAGGTACAACCAATATAGCCCTTCCCCAGAGGTGCCGATCCCCTTTGCTGCTGTTTGCAGCGAACAAAACACATGTCAACTGGCAATAAGCTAACCAAAACAAGCAATATGTTAATAGGGCCTGTTAATTCACATTTCAGAAGAAAAATTAGAAACTTAAGATATCTTAAGCTGGTAAAAAAAGGAAAGGAGAAGGAGAAGTAAGGTGGCGTACTGCACAGCACTGGCAGAACAAAATGAATGAAGAGTTAATACTGAAATACAAGCCACCAAGTAGTCCAGCCTATCAAAAGTATCAAACGGCCTTCAACCATTTGGATGTGGCCCATGCAAAGCTGCCTTATTTTGCTGGGCAATTTTTTAGTGGCACAAAGTGGGCAGAGGTGGCAGAACTGCCCTGGGCAAGGAGCAGGAGAGCACATAGCAGGTTAAAGCAGGCCTCCCCATTGCTTGTCTTCTGCTGGTTCAAGGCACCTGCACAGCACTGACCTGCAGCCAGACCGCTGATCCCAGACTGGGCAGATAGCACTCGCTCCCTGAGATTTCCACCAAAGGAAGCAGAAATGGCCAATATAATCGCCCACAATTTCTTCCTTGCTCGGCTGGTGTGGGATCTGTGAGACTAGACGGGATGTTCTGATCCAAAGCTGCTCCATGGGCATCAAACATCACTTTCAAACCCTGTAGAAACACATTTCTTTCCTGTCTGACCTGGCAATGTTGCACTGCTGATAGCGTTACTTGAATGAGATATTGATTTCTTCTAAATTGTCACAATGAGGAGTAACAATCACTTTTCTGCCCATAATAATATTAGAAAAGCCAGATGTCCTGCATTGCCAAATAGGAGCACGCTCCTTTTGTACTCGCACAACAGAGCAGCTGCATGGCAGCACCTGACGGTCACTTTGGCGTCCTGACTGTGGGGAAGGGGCACGGTGCAGTAACCACTGGTAAGACAGAACTGAAGCTTTGCCCATGAAATCTTTGACAAATACGATGGGGATTTTTTATTTATATTTGATTTACTCCCTTTTTAAAAATCTAAACTTTAATTCCTCTGAGGGAACGTACCTACCTTCATAGATGACTATTTTGATGATAACTTATTTTCATAAGCAGTGCAGTGCAGCACACAGAGAGAGAGGCAGTTGTTCAGAGGCTAGACCATCATACCCTAAATCAACCCACATTTAAAATATTCTTCAGTTACAGAATTAAAAATTATTTTTATAAAAGCAGGCTGAGGTTGGTTTACCAGTGGTTGTAAGACTGTGTCTGGAGTCCTGTGAGTAGATAACGACAGCAGAGTGTTTTCAGCTGGAAAAAGTGTTTTGGCTCCATTCTGCTTCCCTGACTCGTTTGGAAAGTTTGACTAATAGATCAGTATGACTAGGGTGTTAATTTTCAGACAAGGGTATCTCAATAATTATCTCATGTGGCTTAAACGTGCAAGTTCATGCTGGCCCTTGGACACGATGGTTCTTCAGTGTTGTGGCCACGTAGCTTGCATCTCTGTGTGCACAGAAGAGAGTCTGGATAATGTATCCTGTAGATGTTGACCGTGTGTTGGGTCCTTTGCTAGCATCTGGACACAACATTTCTTAGGATATTGTATTATCTTGCTGAATGTAAGTCCACCCATAGGTTACCTGTTATTGTATTTGACAGTATATGCAAATACTGTAAAGATAAAAGAACCCATATAAATATTTGCAAAGTTTTCTGAAAGTAATTCCAGGAGTTGCTAATTCATTTGTAAAGAACATGACTAGTTAACCATCTTTTACAGGAAGGCAGTAGAGTACAGAAAATAGCAGAGTCTGAATATTGCACCTGCAATGACCATTTTCAAAGGTTTTTTGAAACAAATGATAAAACAAACCATAAATGATAGGGCTGCAGGCAGAACTGAAATAATCCAGCCAGAAGGTGGCATTGCAGAAGCTCTTAGGTGCTGAGAATTTAATAAAAAGATCAACTATTGTGAGAAAAGCAGCCAAGAACAACAACAAAACCAACCATTTCCATGATTACACATGGTGTTTCTGTTACATATTTCTGGTTTTGAAGGGATTCTGATTCTTGTGACACATGGAGAGTTTTAGTAATTTTTCTGCAATGTTTTCTTGCTCCAGAAAATATGTGGACTTGTATCTCTACCATCACTGTGCCTGGAAAAGAGGAAGCAAATGGAGAAGCCAGCACTCCTCAGCATTTGTTAAGTACAGGAGAAACACAGAAACTGCTGCAGATGATAGGTGCTGTATATTCTCCAATAATGTCAGTATTTAACCCTGAGAAAACCATGCTAAAGGCAAACAAGAATAAAATTGACTAGCTATCTAAGAAAATTACTTCTATCATAGGGATGGGGATTTTGGTGATGTAATGCAATGGGTCAAAGACAGTATAATTACAGTCAGGAGAGAGAAATCAGCCAGGAAGGCAAGGTGCTATACACAACTGCATCACAAGATGTGCAGAATTTGCAGGAGAGAGTCCCAAGGTACCAGCACGATTTGATGGAGCTGGCTGTGCTGTGGAGCATACACTGAGGAGAAGTCAGTTTTGACCGTGGAGCAGACCAGAAACTTGGTGAGAGAGTGGATTGCTGGAGATGATGGATGGAAACAGTCACAGACATATTTCCCCCCAATTTGGACAGGACGGTTCCACCCATGTACGTGTGCATAGCACAGGGGCAAAGCCCATGCCTTGCATTTCTAGGCCCTAAAATCTTAACAAAATCAAAGCAATACTACACCAGCTGTGAGCCCCAGGGGCTGGGTGAAGTAATGATTTGGCAGAATGAAGTATTCGCCAAAGTATTGCAACACAGCCAGTTCTGGGGAAGAAAAACAGATAAAACAAAATTACTTAAACATTGAAGGACAAAATCTGTAGGGGAAAGTTTTTTTGGGACAAAGATGTTCTTGAGCACACAATCCCTTCTTTGGGTCAAATCTTGCCTCATTTATTTAGAACGGATCTTTATATCTTCAGAAGTATCTTTAAACCATCATGACTACAGTGTTACTGTAGTAACATCAGGTCTAGAGACAAATGTGACAGTCGCAAGTACTGTGACTGTCAGTTCTGTCACTTGGCTTCTGAAGGATGAGGGGACAAAATCTGGCCCTTAGCTCTGCTGATGTCAGGTACCTGCGGTGTCAGTGTACTTCAGTCATGTGCAGGCTCTGAAATTAAAGTATCTGAGGGCAGGACCCCAAGCACAGGATGGAGCTCAGATGTCCCTAGCTGCCCGGTATGAAAATGCTGATGCAGGCTGGTGGCACAGGCCAGCTGCCCCCGCCCCGGCTGGCTTCGCCTGGGAGCTGCTGCAGCTACAGCCTCTGCTCGCAGGCACAGAGCAAGAGAAGGCAGCTCCTGATCAGAGTCGAACAAATATTTGCCTGTTCTCCTCTACCCCCCTGCCTCAGAAGGCTTCCTTCCCCTGCCTCTCCATCTTGCTCCCATCTTGCTCCAGAGCACTACCAGATTAATTATTTTGTGTGTGTTTAAATATCCTTTCTCTTATTAAAATCCAAAGCTTCTTTGAGTGCTCTTTTTCTCCATTCTGCACTTCGGTGGAAACGTGTAATTAAAAATACAAGTGAAAGCACTCCTCCTTTCTTACAAGAAAAACTGGAATATTCTTGGTTTATATATAGCTAAAAAGACTGAAGGCTGTCTCTTGAGAAACTGCACATCCTTTTCTATGTCAGTTTTCTCTGTAATGCTTCATTGATGCTTTGTTGCTGCTGGAGCCATGAAGACTGACGTGCAACTGATCCAGTAGGAAGATGATTTGATTAGCTTATGTAAATGGAAGAATAAATAAATTATTTTAATAAATTACAGTTACAGCTGTATATGCCCTTTTGTCAGGAGTTTCTTGGAACAGCTACTTTCATTTACTTAATTTTCACTAAAGCTGATAAAATGTTGTGGGGTTTTTTGTCAAAAAAAAAAAAATTATAACTGAAAATTGGACACTGACTATTAAGCATTAATTTACCTGAACTTATCTGACTACTTTAGCATATTTTTGTTTTGAATAGAAAAATTAATGCCTGTAAACCAAAACCTTTAATTTAAATCTTGAATAATTTATTTTGGATATGCTACTGCAATGTCTCCAGAGAATTGCCATTTGGATGTTTTATTTTATTGCTCAGTTTTTTCACTTCCAGAACATGCCTGCTTTCAGAACCATAGTTATATCAGTGACTTCATGCTAAATACTTAAGTGCTCTGCAGTATTAAGGTATAAAACAAAAATCACCACAGAGCTTGCAAAAATAAATCAATCTGTTCCTCAAAAAGTTTTCAGCTGGTGTTTTTGCAACCCAAGGATTTAACTTTTTTTTTACACCTGTCAATAATAGATGTTGTCGACTTTTCTCTTTAAAGCTGCCTTTGCCTGTGGACTCCACAAGGGGGTAGGAAATCCTTTCTCACAGTTTAGGCTGTGACAGAAAAGATCAAAAGAAAAAAAAATAATAGTGAACTTAACTATTCTTACCATAAACCATTTAAGAATAAAAATATAGCAATTGTTTGAATAAAAATCACTGGTTTCAAAGACAGCTCTGAATGTTGCTTAGAGGCATTGCAAGAGGGAAGCTGAGTGTGGATTAGCTGGCTGGGATGTTCTTAAGTGTGTCTTGCTGTCCTGCATGTTCAAATTGGCATGTACCAGAGAGGAAGAGGGCTATGAGCGTGCTCTCAGACTGAGGTGCCCACCTGGATGTGGGAGCTTGAACTCCCTTCTGAATCCAGGACTGGAAATATAACCTCTGAGGGCAACATTAGCTCTTGCTGGAATCATCCACAGTAAAAAAGATACAATAAGTCCTAACCCTTCTGGCTGCTGCCTGGAGAAGAAGAACATGGTCTGGATTTGATATAGACCAGAATTCATACTAAAACAGTTCACCATGTAGTTTGGAAAAATAGATTAATGGGTGAGCATGCGTTTCAGAAAAAATAATACAAAACAACTTACCATGATATTTAAGGAGAGGAAGAAATGAAGAGATCTGCAGTGATTGCATCTGAACATAAATAGTGTAGTAGTCAATTGAATTGAATGTGGTTAGTATGTTATAGCAAAACCCACAGACACTCAGGTTCTTCTGTGCACCAGCAGGTGTCGTCCACAAAAAATCCCTGATACTCTGAAGCCCCGGGTTTTGTGCAAAGCAGTGCTTTGTTTAGCACCAAGTTTAGCACCAGCGTCAAGTTTAACAGCAGGTGGAACAGCATGGCATGCTACAAAGTCTTTCAGGAACCAAATCCCACCATCTGACAGATCTGCAAGTCCCCTTGGCCAGAACAACTACTGAAGAAGATCTAGCTGTAGGCTGCAAAGCTGGGTAGCAAGACTGACTAAGCAGATACTACTTTAACATCCAAGGGCACACACTGGACACACACAAGGACATGACACACTGAAGCCTCACAGATAGCTCAAAATTGTTCCCTGAAGATTTGCAGTCTGGAAGAAATATTGTCTTTGTAGGAAATTTAATGTATTGGCTGACTCTGAATGTTTTACGCTATGTGTTAATGAAGTAATTTAATCATTACTTAAAATGTCTCCAACTGCATCGTGTGTCACCAGCTAGACATTTAATATGTAGAAGAATTTTCAGAAATACCTAAATGTGGACTGAGAGACTTAATTAGACACCTAACATTAACTTAACATATTCTTGTGCAACTAACAGACAAAAGGGATTAAAACTCACTCTGCAGAATAGTTGAGTACTGTGGCAAATACTGCTGGCAGCAAATGTTGTGAAGACACTTAGAAAGGATCTGTAGTTGCCTCCAAGTCTAGTGTTATATCTAATTTTTTGTGGCCCATCATCTGACTCATAGTTTTGCTGCTGGAAGGATGTCAGGGACATTTAGCATTTGTTAGCTTTCAATAAAACCCCCTTATGGACTAGTTTTAACACAAAGACAGATCTGATGGCACACAAGTTTCTCTGGAGAAGCCACATTGAGCCGCATGCAGACATGACCTGGCACAGCTGGCTGCGACACCATCTCTGCATGTCCCCCACCAGCTGGCATGGAGCTCCCCTCTGCCTACCAGCACTGGCACACTGTGGACTCTCCATATTGCCCACAAACACTATGCATTTCATGTGGCTCAGCTCCAAAAGGAGAAGCAGAAAGTTCCTGATGGCATCCTAGATGGTACCCTGGCCAGTAAGGTGTCATGTGAAATGTATACAAAGGTTGCCCTCCAGCTTCCACCAGAGCTGGCCCCCAGGAAAGTATTGCAGGAGCAAAAACAGATTAAGATGAGTCTAGACAAACCTGAGGCAACAGCACAGGCTCCGAAAGCCAGGGCTGGGCTGTGTTAGAGATGCAGCTCTCCAGAGCTGGGCCATCGGCCACAAGCAACCTGCTGCTCAGTTTTCTTGCTCTCCCTGAGCACTGCTCCCACTGCCCTTGTGTTTAATCTGAGGGTCTCCCTGGGCACGCGTTAAACAGTGATATGGGAAAATGTATTGTCCAACTTCTGGGTGCTTAAAATCTTTATCGCATCCAGCCCTGCTCTGTTCCCTGGTCTACCTGTTCAGCTAGTGGCAGTTGTGCACAGAAAGAGTATTTGCATCAACTTAAAGACCTTGGGTTTTATGTTTCTTATTACAAAAGGTGAGAGCCTTACACACTACCCCAGACAAGTCTGTGACCTTGCAAGCTCCTTGCTGCCTCAAGTGTTTCAGGGTTGGGGTGAAACTGGGGTTCTCCATATCCAAAACAGAACCTGTTCATGTTATCACAGATGCATTAAAAAGTTTTCAGCAAAGAAAATGAGCAGCTGTCACTGGCATGCCATACTAATATAGATGCAATAAGCCAGGAAGTGAATAGACATGTGGGTGGCTTTTTGGTAGTCGAACTTTAGTAAGGGTAGATTATACATTGTATGCATACCATGAAAGCTAAGTCAGAGGTACAATTCACAATGAAAAGACTGCAGTTAGCTGCACTCAGTAACAAGAACTAAGCCAGCATTATTTCAAGGATGTAACTGATGTGAACTCTGGCAGCGACTCTTACTGACTTCAGAGGGAGCTCAGCGTGGCAAGGACCGCAATTAGAGAAATTTAAAAATGGATCAATTAAGATTGTGAAAACACAAGGAAACCAGCATAAGAAACTGAGCATAACTATACTCAAAGTCTTGGCAGCTTTCCTATCTTTATTCTTAGAAAGCTCATTTTTCCTATCATTTTTTGTGTGCCTGTGTACCTGGCTCAACTCATGTATATGCCTTTGTGAGACTGAAAAAATTTTAACATAAATCCCTATCACAATGTAGGCAGGAGCAGATAAACCAACTGTAGGTAAAACAGCCCTCCACAGTTTGTTGAACACAACAGGGCAAAAACTCGAGCATTTAACAACAATTCATAGCCCTCAGTTCCAGAAGCATAAGCTTCCAAGAAAACCACACCAAAAGCAAAAGCAGCTGGCAGTGACCAGCACACAGCTATGATTTGTTCTATGGCTGCAACAGTCATGACGCTGGCATAATGCAGAGGGCAGCAGATTGCATAAGACCGATCCATGGCAACGGAACAAAGATGGAAAATGGAAACTAAGCAGAGCATCAGGTCAAAACTGTAATGAACTTTGCAAAATGTCATCCCAAGATACCAGCAGTTCTCCACAGACCTCACCATGCTGTAGGGCATAATGGAAAAGCCCAGAAGGAAATCCATGACAGCCATGGATAGGATGAGGAAATTGTTTGGAGAATGAAGCTGAAATATGAAATGGAAATGCTTATGGCCGGATTCCCTACGATGGTGAGAATGAAGGCTGCTCTTATGAAGAGATATACTACTACCTCTCGTACTCCTGGTGTCCTAAAGCTCTCAGGACAGGATCTATTTCCAAGCTTGGAGCAATCAGTCAAATCCCTCAAGACATTTGGAGAAAGCATGATCAATCCTTTATTAGATTCTTCTACTGGAGATGCAGTTCCACAGGCAGATTTAATTTTCATGAGTTTCCAAAAGATTCCAAATCCTAACGTGAGAATACAAGTTAAAGTAAGTCAAGAGCATGAATTAAATTACTGAGGGAAATGCAGTAATTCAAAGGCAAACTTTCTCTTGGCTTAAATAGGGACCAGCTGCAACCTATTATTTTTATGAAATGGTACATGAAATCTGATAACTGGAAGCTATTATAAAATTTATTGCAAATAATATTTAAAACAAAGCAGTTGAAAGTACCCTTAATTACCTCTTACATTAACTAAATTACATGATACTGTCAGTTTTATTTTGTGTATTTTATTGTGCCTGGAGCATTTCATAAAATATGGTTCTTGTATTTTATACACATCATAATATTAGTAATTTTCAAGTCGTGGAAGAAAAAGATGCATAGACAAAGAAATCCGTCGAGTTCACTTCAGCCTGTAAATACTGTATAGGATTTATTAACCTCTTCAATCTTAGAATGTTGATCTTTTTTCTATAGCAGAAATATTAAGAGAGCTCACATACCTCAGCTTTCTTGGACATTTCAGTTAATAGCTATTCACCTAAATGCTCATCATAAGAGTTACAAATCAGCTTCCAAAATCCCCTTTTCCAAATTATTTATGATGCTAAACTCACCTGCTGTGGATTAGGAAGTACTAGCAATAAACATATCTGATGGAAATCAGTTGTAAAATTGGTATGATAAGAAATAGTCTTT